GAGGGTAGTGCGTACAGCCCAGTACATCACTGCATGGGGCCAAGCTTCCTGCCATCCAGGACCTCTATACCAGGCGGTGTCAGAGGAAGGCCCTAGTCATAGACTGTTCTCTCTGCTACCGCACGGCAAGCGGTACCGGAGCGCCAAGTCTAGGTCCAAAAGGCTTCTTAACAGCTTCTACCCCCAAGCCATAAGACTCCTGTACAGCTAATAAAATGGCTACCCGGACTATTTGCATTGTTATTTGACTGCCATGTGGGATAAATAAAGTAAAGTAGACTTAACCAGCATGTTCTTGTAGTTACACACAATGTCATAATAATATAATTCACACACTTAAAAGGACAATTAAAAACCAACCAACCAACCAACATCACACAATCAGATGACAGAACAGGCAGACAGAGAGACACAGCAAATATAATGTTTGAATTCTTGGGGGGTTGTTAGCTATTCTTAAAAAACAGCAGCAGGTATTAACAAAGCTAGACTGAGTTTTCATTAAGGAAAGAATGAATGCCATTTCTTATTACTGTAAAGCATCTGGAAGAGAGCAGTGAAAACCTCAATATCTGGAGTACTAGTGCTCATATTGACTTGAATGCTTTCCAGGGGGACGGAACTAGCTGGGGATGGAATGCTGCTGGAAACCATCAAAGTCAAGACAACTATTCTGATTGGAGACAGCAGCTGCCAAGCGCTCAGTGAGTTGTGCAAGAAGGTTTCCAGCTTTATTTACCCATCTTTATATACTTTACACTTACGTTTGTTGAATAACATTAATAATTTGATATTAAGTACAACTGTGATGGGTATACAATTTTGACTTTCCAGTGACCAATCCGGTTGAATATAAATATTCCTCTGAGATGAAATCCTGACAACCTGGAGGAATGTGGGGGTGGGTGTTCTGTTTGTCAACAATTTAGCAGTCTAATCCCAGGGGTAAGGACATGTTTGAGTCCACAGTCAATCAGCCAATAGAGTGAGAGCCCTAGAACAGTCATAACAATAGTTGTGATAACACAGCCAGTCTCATCATTGGAAACTCTGTACAGAGAGCCAAGAACAACACCTGAGAGACAACCCAACTAGGAAATACTTTCAAGAGACTGTTGGAGCTGCTGCTGCAGGTAAGAGACTGACAGCATTCGTCATCCATTCATTGATTGGACCAATCCTAGTGGCAATTTCACATAATGACACGCACACATCCCACACCATCAGAGGTGTTATTTAGGTAAATTATGGAAAACATGACATCTCGACAGTATTGAGTTAGAGCTTACATGATTAGCGTTGATGTACAAAAACATTACCTCCATTTTCCACATCAGGTTCTTATGATAATGTCAGGTAGATATGATGTTTGGATAATGAGAACTACGTCCTCCTAAGGATTACGTGTATGGACAAGGTAGACTATATTTAAACTACCACAGCATTGTACTGAAGAACTATTAACATACAGGTAACTGCCAAAATAAAGGAAACGCTTGAGTAAATGAGGGATACAAAGTATATTGAAAGCAGGTGCTTCCACACAGGTGTGGTTCCTGAGTTAATTAAGCAATTAACATCCCATCATGCTTAGGGCCATGAAAATGCTGGGCAGGCCATTATTTTGGCTATTGTTTTGGCTACCATGGCTGTGCCCCCATAGGATGATAATGTCCCCATCCACAGGCCACGAGTGGTCACTGAATGGGCATGAAAACAATGTAAACCATATGCCATGGCTGTCTCAGTCACCAGATCTCAACCCAATTGACCACTTATGGGAGATTCTGGAGCGGTGCCTGAGACATAGTTTTCCACCACCATTAGAAAAAACACCAAATGATGGAATTTCTCGTGGATGAAAGGTGTCACATCCCCCCAATAGAGTTCCAGAATATATGCCAAGGTGCATTGAAGCTGTTCTGGCTCGTGGTGGCCCAACGCCCTATTAAGACACTTTATGTTGGTGTTTCCTTCATTTTGGCAGTTACCTGTAGATCAGAGTTGATACTATAGGGCTAATGTAAATACATAAATAAAGAAATCAAACTAGTTTTGCCAGAACATCAATTAAGTTGTTAATACATATTTTTGTTTGAATTAAAATGGGTACATGTAAGTACTAGTACTGCAGTATGATGACTACACTGGAATGGATAGCCAACTGTAAATAGAACCATGAATTGATAGGAGGTATACAATGCTCTCTCTCTCTCTCTCTCTCTCTCTCTCTCTACTCTATCTCTCATCGTCTATCTTCTCTCTATCTCTCTCTTCTCTCGATCTCTCTCTCTCCTATACTTCTCCTCTCTCTCTCTCTCTCTCTCTCTCTCTCTCTCTCTCTCTCGGCCAACCACCTCAGAAATAATTGAAAGTGAATCCTGTCCTCTATACAAAGACATTGTCCTCATCATAAAGAATATGGCCATGTTGAGATAGTCCCTTTGTGTTTTAAAACCTGCTGCAGGAAACAGGTACTCTTTTAGAAAACAAGAAATTGTTTTAACACTTAACAAGTACTTTCTCACCAACCAGCAGGCTCAGTCTTTAAAATAGACATGTATGTGATGGCTTACGACAGTTGGCCTAGACTATATCCCCAGAAATATGTTGACAGTGGAGTAATGATACCTGCAAACTAACTCAAACAATTGTTCTACAACTATCATATCATGTCTCTACATTGAAACGTAGATGTCATGTACAGTAAATGTGGTAATGAAGACAACCAATGGGATACTTGTTGACATGGCCCAACCGACAAGATCCTGATGCAACAGGATTGGTGGGCCAGTAGTGTTTGCTCCAGTAGTGTTTGCTCTCCATACAGAACTCTAAGCTGATAGACGTCTAACTATGAGACAGACAAAACAATTATGTTGGCTTCCAGCTCTGAGCAAACACTGACAGCCTCAGCCCACTTCAAAAACAACATGAGAGTGAATTCAGAGATCATACTAGTTTATAAGTATTACTGGTGTTATAAATAGATGTATATAGTCATCTACACTGAGTTTACAAAACATTAGGAACACTTGCTCTTTCCATGACAGACTGACCAGGTGAAAATCCAGGTCAAAGCTATGATCCCTTATGGATGTCACTTGTTAAATCCACTTCAATCAGTGTAGATGAAGGGGGGGAGAGACAGGTTAAAGAAGGATTTACAAGCCTTGAGACAATTGAGACATGGATTGTGTATGTGTGCCATTCAGAGGGTGAATGGGCAAGACAAAATATTTAAGTGCTTTTGAACGGGGTATGGTAGTAGGTGCCAGGCGCACCGGTTTGTGTCAAGAACTGCACCACTGTTGGGTTTTTCATGCTCAACTGTTTCCTGTGTGTATCAAGAATGTTCCACCACCCAAAGGACATCCAGCCAACTTGACACAACTGTGGGAAACATTGGAGTCAACATGGGCCAGCATCCCTGTGGAACGCTTTCGACACCTTGTAGCGTCCATGCCCCGACGAATTAAGGCTGTTCTGAGGGAAAAGGGGGGAGGGGCTTCCGTCTGGCCACTCTACCATAAAGACCTGATTGGTGGAGTGCTGCAGAGATGGAAGGTTCTCCCATCTCCACAGAGGAACTCTAGACCTCCCTGACCAAGGCCCTTCTCCCCCGATTGCTCAGTTTGGCCGATCAGCCAGCTCTAGGAAGAGTCTTGGTGGTTCCAAACTTCTTCCATTTAAGAATGATGGAGGCCACTGTGTTCTTGGGGAACTTCAATGCTGCAGAAATGTTTTGTTACCCTTCCCCAGATTTGTGCCTCGACACAATCCTGTCTCAGAGCTCTACTGACAATTCCTTTGACCTCATGGCTTTGCTCTGACATGCACTGTCAACTGTGGGACTTTATATAGACAGGTGTGTACCTTTCCAAATCATGTCCAATCAATTGAATGTACCACAGGTGAACCTCTTAAGGATGATCAATGGAAACAGGATGCACCTGAGCTCAATTTCGAGTCTCATAGCAAAGGGTCTGAATACTTATGTAAATAAGGTACTTCTGTTTTTTATTTTTAATACATTTGCAAAAATGTCTAAAAACCTGTTTTCGCTTTGTCATTATGAGGTATTGTGTGTAGATTGCTGAAAAATATATATACATTTAATCAATATTAGAATAAGGCTGTAACATAACAAAATGTGGAAAGTCAAGGGGTCTGAATACTATCCGAAGGCACTGTATATGGCCAAAGGTATGTGGACACGCATTCAAATGAGTGGATTCGGCTATTTCAGCCACACCCATGCTGACAGGTGTATACAATTGAGCACACAGCAATGCACTCTCCATAGACAAACATTGGCAGTAGAATGGCCTGTACTGAAGAGCTCAGTGACTTAACGGATACCACCTTTCCAACAAGTCAGTTCATCAAATGTCTGCCCTGCTAGAGCTGCCCCGGTCAACTGTAAGTGCTGTTATTGTGAAGTGGAAACGTCTAGGAGCAACAACGGCTATATATATATTTTGTATAACTCCCAGTCCGGTTTTGGCCCGCATGCCGCCTGTTGCCGACCCCTGGGCTAGAGTGACAGACAAGGGAAGACGTACAGTAGAGGGGGGAGTCCGCGGTCCAGGTGAGCATTTGTTGTGTGTTCTATAGGAGCTACAATATCTGTGTCAATGAGTGCAGCTACAAGTCATTATTCCTATACTAACAAGCCTACTTTACACGCGCGCGTAAAACCTGTCCTTTAGAACTGCGTTGATCCGGTTCCCCCACATTAGCTCTGGATAAAAGGCAAACGGCATGTAGGGCCTCCCTGTTGCCATCGCTCTGTTTGTATGGACATAAACAGAAACAGTTGGAGTTTTTTTTCTCTCCTTTTCAGCCTTGCACTCTCTTTGCTATCGTCATGAACTGCGCCTTATTTTTTTCTACCAGAGCGCGCAGTGTTGTTCCTGTCCTGCCTGGCTGTTGCTCAGCAACACGAAGGCGTGTCCACCGCAATGATTTAAGCAGTAGGAAACCCTTGCTCGCTGTCACTTTGTCAGTTCAGTCTGTTAACTAGTCCCTGCATGGAAGTGGAATTGCTAGGGAGACGAGGGAATCCCACTATAGTTTCGCCTCACTCCTGATGAATTTGTATCGACGTTACCAAGCTTGGTTTGTCTGTCTCAGTCTGCCTGTTCCATTCGCTGCGTCCACAAGCATGGCTTGGAGTGAAGTATAGCGCCACATCATCTCGGACTGTCAAGCCGTGTAGAATACACAACTGATGCTGTACAACAAACGGTGTATTTTACAGAAGAAATTCATCAGAGGAACCAAGTAGGCCTATATTTCATTGATGAGGTGCGGGCTTTTTTCAGTTTGACTATCCAGCATTTTGGGTTGCCATAATAAAGACATTGGTTGCGCTTGGATTCGAATAACGTTAGCCTATTCACTTTTTGGCCGAAAACGAAAGGGATTTACGTAGAAATATTTTGGTATATATTTTGTTTATGCAGGCAACCACCAAGTGACTTCGACAATATGGCATTGAGCAGGACGCTTTTGCCATCCATATCCACATTTGCAAGCGGTCCGACTGTCAAGAATAAATCCATGGGACATGCGAATTTGGTGAGTATGGTAAATTATATTAGCTATTCATATCTCAACAGTCTAGCTAGCCTAAATAGGACATGCTGCATGTTTTTATTGGTAGGTCAGCTCATAATCGGTTTTAATGTAACCTATGTATTTTCTTTGTAAATTCCTTTGCTTGACCTTATGTCATTGCCGCACTCTAGAACACTGCACCTCTGTTGGGGCGTGCACCAGCAAGTAGAATGTTCAGCGTGGCTACTGACTGAGTGGATGGTAGCCTACTATACGTGTTTAGATTGCAGCAGTGGCATCTTATTGCTTTATTATAAGACAATTGATTTAGGTTGTTGACTTATCTATTGCCAAATATATAATGTGAATATAGAATAGGCTACTGAATGTGACTGTTTTAAGGAGCCGAGGTTTCTTGTGTTATAGAAGCCTAATAAACTACAACTAATCTATACATGTCTGGGATTACACACAAGAATATCTCCTGGCACAATATTTTCTCAGGTAGAAGATACATTTGACAAAGAACCACAGTTTTTATATTTCAGTTAGCTAGAGAGGGGGAATCTACAGGTAGCCATATTTAACATTTGGCAATGACATGTTATGACCAAAGACTAGTCTCAATGATTTAGCCATAGAGATCATATTACAATATTCTAATTCCTAATTCTATGGCCATTCAGAGTTATGTTAATTGAATGACTATGACCACAGGTGTCTTTCAGTCCTTGTGCTGTGTAGTAATGCCTTTCTCTTGCCTTCTCTAGAGATGGAAGGAGGATATCTCCACTGGCATGACCAAGAGAGAGCCTGAAGACCTGGACCTACTAGACTACGACTTTATCCTGTCCAACACTATGCTGCAACAGCAGGCTGAGGCCATGGCAGCAAGTGGGTCCCAGAACCTGTCCCCTTCCCCAGGCTCCTACTCCTCCTACCAGCTCCCCTCTCCCCAGGACTCTGCCCACAGTGACATGCTGTACACCATCCCTGACATCAGCGACGTGTCCCCCTCTGGGGGGTTCGTGGCCGAGCTGATGAGGCCTGAACTGGATCCGGCATACCTCCACCCCACCAGCCTGCATGGCAAGTTTGTGGTGAAGACCACCATGGATATGGCAGAGTACGGCCACAGCATTAATATGATTAGTAAGGCCGGTGTTGGTGTCGGTGCTGCCACGGACCACTCCTCCTCATTGCCGTTTGTTTGCCATATGATAAAGCAGGAGAACCCCAGCATGTGCACCATCACCCAACCCATGGACCTCCACCTTGGGGGGGTGAACTCACACTCCCAGCCCAGGTCTGGACAGAGGCCCCACCTCGACCCCCACGGTTTCCCCCCAGGGGGGCGTCCTATGACAGCCAGCCGATCAGCCTCATCTCTGTCCCCGGACCACACACTGGCCAGGGACCACCACCCTTCCAGCCAGGTGTTATCCCACCCCCAGGTCCCTCTGCCTGGCCAGGGATACCACCACAACTCTCCGACAGGCTACTCCCCCTTCCCTCAACAGCCTGGGTCTCTACAGTACCAAGGTCAGTACAACTTCAATCTAAGTGTTTTTGACCAACAGCCTTTTTTTCACATTCCTCATTTGCTGGTGCCTGATGTTGAGGTAAACTCTGAGGGGATGATGCTGAAGCTCATCACTCCACCCTCTCCACCCCGTCTAGAGCTCATGTCCCCCGGCGGAGAATGTCTACCGGAGGAGCCCAAACCCAAACGCGGCCGGCGCTCCTGGCCCAGGAAGAGAATCGCCACACACACGTGTGACTACGCCGGCTGTGGGAAAACATACACCAAGAGCTCCCACCTCAAGGCACATCACCGAACCCACACAGGTTGGTACACATGTTGGTTGTCTCATTGTTAAAACGCCGTTTCAAACGGTTCTATGATGTCAGAAGAACTTTAGGAGGCACTCTCTCTTTTTTCTCTCTCTTTTTGTGAGACTTTATTTAGGGCATAGTTAGCCTTCATCAATCTTTCAACCAGTTGGGTCGTTTTTCATTCCCATGTCCTTCTTAATTATGGGGGACAGCATTCATTACTGTAGTTTATGGTTTATTATGGGATGGTAGGCCTTTCTTGATTCACAACGGGAAACTTTGACATGGAGTTTTAAATCGGATAAATATGAACAGTACTTTTCCTTGTTTATTCATTTAGTAATGATTTGGTATGCAGACCAGTCTGTTGCAAGGGAGACGTAGATTTAATGGCTGGAATAATCCATTTAATTGATTGTAATGGAACAATTTGTAATAGGCAGCAACGTGACCTTTTGCTACATTATGAGAGGAGGATTTTATTTACATTTTTTTCTCTAGTAATTCCAGTTAATTTCCCTCAGCTGTACACTCTATGTTGACCTATAACTAGTACCTTCCCTGCTACCCCAAGATGCTTGCCCCTGGCATAACGGCTGTTGTATTGCCAGCAGTAGAGAGAGAGAGAGAGCGAGAGAGAGAGAGAGAGAGAGAGAGAGAGAGAGGAGAGAGATGATGGAGAGAGAGAGAGATGAGAGAGAGAGATGGCGAGAGAGAGATTCTGCGATGAGCAGAAGCTTGAGATAGAGGTCGACGATCTCTCTCGATGAGCTCTCGATCTCTCTCTCTCTCTAGACGAGATCTCTCTATCGCTATCTCTCTCTCTCCCGCTAGATCGTCTCGCTCTCTCAGAGAGAGAGGAAGCAGACCCAGTTGGCAGGTGTCATGAACAGACAACAGCAGCTAGCAGCAGGTTGATACTGATCCTGTTCAAATACAACCGCAGGTTGATTCGTTTACAATTAATGCACTGCAGGACAGGACCGACCTCTTTCTGTGGTGAGGAGAGTTTGGTCTGTTTTCACTCTAGGGTGAACAAACTAAATTCTAACTGCCTTGCTTCTCTCTCTCTCTCTCTCTCTCTCTCTCTGTGTGTGTCTATGTATGTGTGTTGTGTCATTAATAGGAGAGAAGCCTTATTGCTGTGACTGGGAGGGCTGCGGCTGGAAGTTTGCCCGTTCGGACGAGCTCACGCGGCACTACAGGAAACACACCGGGCATCGCCCCTTCCAGTGTGCCAAGTGTGACAGGGCCTTCTCAAGGTCCGACCACCTGGCTCTACACATGAAGAGACACCTATGAGACAGTCACTGGACTCACTGGACACCATGGACCAAGACTAAAATACTATAAATATTATTACACAGCGACCTGAACTACACAACAACATTGTCTTCTAGCCATCCATTGTCAAAGCACCAAGACAAGCTGTGTGTTTCCTGGTAAAGAGTGTTACACTCTCAAGGGTCCAACCCAATGACTAAAGACTGTTCTTTGTCCATCTATGGGCTCGTGATCTGACATTTGACAAGACCCATCAGAACAACTTATTTTGTGGGACAAAACTGGAATTGTTAATCTATTTATCGACAAAACCTGGAGGACTAGGTGCCAACGTATGACTGGAAATGTATTAGCAGAGATTTACAGGGACAGTCCTAGCCACTACGCGACCACAATTTTTTTGATTGTCTGAAGATTATGATCACTTGCCCTAAAATGTAAATGTGCTATTTCCACACAGAAGTGCCATATATTGCCTGCCTTTCACCTACACATTGGGGAGGAATCAGAAAGATCACTACTGGAATTCTTTGCATTTTGGTTGTTTTATTAGTAAAAACATTCTCAGAGCAAGCTCAACTTGCCCGACTGCTGTAAATTCCATACATTGTCTTTCTTTCACTCAAATAATGAGGAGGAACCAGAAAGGTCAGTTTTAGGCTACTGGAAGTTGTTTTCACTGCAGCAATGGGTCAACCTCAGAGCAGGCTCAACTTGCCCCTGGCCATAGCGCTAACCCTGACCCTTAATGTCAATCCCTGTATTGGTTATCAGGGAAACAAGAAACTCAGACAGAACACAGAAGTGATGGAACCCATCCTAAGAGGCCTTCTATCTATTCAATCAGCAACATTCCATTTGTCTTTGTTTGTCAAGTTCATACTGTAAAACATACTGTATTAGACATTTCTATTTATATTACTCTACTCTTCCAAGCCATTGACTTCAGGTACAAATTAAATGTATATGTTACAGGATGGTGCTCAAAGACTTTAGTATATTAAAAGGTACCTTGAACAGATTTTCATTGGTTGTTTAGCTTAGTACTCTAGACTAACTCTTACAATTGCACTTGTAAATTACCTTTACTAATTGTCATTGTCTTTCATCAACATAAGAGGAACAAAAGTAGATTTGCTATTAATTGTTTTAAGAATGGTAACTCGAACAACTGCCTGTTTGTGTCATAGCTAATATGATTAAATTCAATTTCCTGTAATTGTTTAGAGAAAAGAAATCGGTAAATGTTCACTATGATGTGAACCATTAAAGGTATATCTATTCAAATCAGCAACATTCATTTGTCTTTGTTTGTTCCTGTAAATATTTACATATACATTTACTTACCATTTTATTAATATAAGATGGTTCAAAGTATCATATTATCCAAATTTAAAATAAGAAATGATTACTATATGTGCTTCAAAGAGTTTATATATTTTACCATCATAAATTTAATATGAATAATAAATGTTCAAAGTAAGTGCCCTGTGTCCGGATTTGAATAGGACTCTATATTACATTAAAATGAAATGTTGAAATAGTTTTCTGTCCAACAACATGTTTAAATTAAGTATTGTTAAAAAAGCAGCTTTTAATGTGTTGATGTTGGTTGTACAACAACAGAATGTTGGTGATACCAAACATGAATGGTGTGGTAAAGCCATACAACAGAATGGTTGTGGTTGTTACCACAACAACAGAATGATGATTTGTTTGTGGTGACCACATTTTAAAAAATTACGACATCAGAATGTGTAAATGTACCAACAACAGAATGGTGTGGTACCAACAACAGAAGTGGTGTGAATGTATGGACTAGTACAACAACAGAATGGTGGGCGTACAACAACAGAATGGTGTGGGTCGTGACAACAACAGAATGGTGTGGGGTACCAACAACAGAATGGTGTGGGTGTACCAACAACAGAATGGTGTGGGTGTTACCAACAACAGAATGGTGTGGGCGTACCAACAACAGAATGGTGTGGGTCGTACCAACAACAGAATGGTGTGGGTTCGTACCAACAACAGAATGGTGTGGGCGTACCAACAACAGAATGGTGTGGGCGTACCAACAACAGAATGGTGTGGGTTACCAACAACAGAATGGTGTGGGTTCGTACCAACAACAGAATGGTGTGGGGTACCAACAACAGAATGGTGTGGGCGTACCAACAACAGAATGGTGTGGGTGTACCAACAACAGAATGGTGTGGGCGTACCAACAACAGAATGGTGTGGGCGTACCAACAACAGAATGGTGTGGGCGTACCAACAACAGAATGGTGTGGGGTACCAACACAGATGGTGTGGGACCAACAACAGAATGGTGTGGGCTGTACCAACAACAAATGGGGGACAACACAGAATGGTGTGGGTCGTACCAACAACAGAATGGTGTGGGTGTACCAACAACAGAATGGTGTGGGCGTACCAACAACAGAATGGTGTGGGCGTGTACCAACAACAGAATGGTGTGGGCGTACCAACAACAGAATGGTGTGGGTCGTACCAACAACAGAATGGTGTGGGTGTACCAACAACAGAATGGTGTGGGCGTACCAACAACAGAATGGTGTGGGTCTACCAACAACAGAATGGTGTGGGTGTACCAACAACAGAATGGTGTGGGTGTACCAACAACAGAATGGTGTGGGTGTACCAACAACAGAATGGTGTGGGCGTACCAACAACAGAATGGTGTGGGTGTACCAACAACAGAATGGTGTGGGCGTACCAACACAACAGAGTGTGGGACACACAAATGGTGTGGGGTGTACCAACAACAGAATGGTGTGGTGTACTGTACCAACAACAGAATGGTGTGGGTGTACCAACAACAGAATGGTGTGGGCGTACCAACAACAGAATGGTGTGGGTGTACCAACAACAGAATGGTGTGGGTGTACCAACAACAGAATGTGGTGGGCGTACCAACAACAGAATGGTGTGGGGTTGTACCAACAACAGAATGGTGTGGGTGTACCAACAACAGAATGGTGTGGGGTACCAACAACAGAATGGTGTGGGCTGTACCAACAACAGAATGTGTGGGTGTACTGTACCAACAACAGAATGGTGTGGGTGTACCAACAACAGAATGGTGTGGGCGTACCAACAACAGAATGGTGTGGGTGTACCAACAACAGAATGGTGTGGGTGTACTGTACCAACAACAGAATGGTGTGGGTGTACCAACAACAGAATGGTGTGGGCGTACCAACAACAGAATGGTGTGGGTCGTACCAACAACAGAATGGTGTGGGTGTACACACAGTAATGGTGTGTGTACCAACAACAGAATGGTGTGGGTGTACCAACAACAGAATGGTGTGGGTGTACCAACAACAGAATGGTGTGGGTCGTACCAACAACAGAATGGTGTGGGGTACCAACAACAGAATGGTGTGGGTGTACGTACCAACAACAGAATGGTGTGGGTGTACCAACAACAGAATGGTGTGGGTGTACCAACAACAGAATGGTGTGGGTGTACCAACAACAGAATGGTGTGGGTGTACCAACAACAGAATGGTGTGGGTGTACCAACAACAGAATGGTGTGGGCGTACCAACAACAGAATGGTTGGGCTACCAACAACAGAATGGTGGTCCACACAGAATGGTGTGGGTCGTACCAAACGAGGTTGGTACACAACAGAATGGTGTGGGTGGTACCAACAACAGAATGGTGGGTACAACAATGGTGGGTGTACCAACAACAGAATGGTGTGGGTAAACTGTACCAACAACAGAATGGTGTGGGTGTACCAACAACATAATGGTGTGGGTGTACCAACAACAGAATGGTGTGGGGTAACCAACAACAGAATGGTTGGGCTTACCAACAACAGAATGGTGTGGGTGTACCAACAACAGAATGGTGTGGGTGTACCAACAACAGAATGGTGTGGGTGTACCAACAACAGAATGGTGTGGGTGTACTGTACCAACAACAGAATGGTGTGGGTGTACCAACAACAGAATGGTGTGGGCGTACCAACAACAGAATGGTGTGGGCGTACCAACAACAGAATGGTGTGGGCGTACCAACAACAGAATGGTGTGGGCGTACCAACAACTGAATGGTGTGGGTGTACCAACAACAGAATAGTGTGGGCGTATACCGATCATTAAAAATATTTACGTGACTAGACTGCTGATTGGCCAGCTCATCCTCCTCTATGAGGAAATAGCAAGCATTTTTTAAATCTCTGTTTGAGATAAATGTTTGAGGTGGAGTTTTTAAAGTGTTTTTTTTCTCCAATTTATGCTTTGGCCAACAACATTATTTGGGGATGAGTAACAGAATATTACATTTTTAAAGTGAGATTTTCACTGGACAGTTACTTAAAAATCTTGCTTAATATGCTTAATAATGCTTATCTCCTTTTCCAAAGCTACAGTATATACAAGGAAAGTGTATGCACTTCATAATCATTGCAAGCATCCAAGTTGTGAAGTTTCTAGCAATTTCAACAAATGTAAATACATACATCTTATATAAAATAGTTATTAAACTAGTTATATATAAATAGTTATCAAGATAGACATCCCCGTTTACCTGTTAAAATGAATTTAAAATGAATTTATACAATTCCTTTAACATTATTATTGTCTGTAGTTCCCAAACTCTTATCTTATAGTTCTGTCACGGATAAACAACACATTTAAAATGCATCAATAGGCCACAGCAGGCTCACACAATGTCTCTCCCTTTCTTAGTATATACGCTACCGGTCAAAAGTTTTAGAATACCTACTCATTCAAGGGTTTTTCTTTATTTTTACTATTTAGAATAATGTAGAATAATAGTGAAGACATCAAAACTATTAAATAACACAGGGGCGGCAGGTAGCTTAGTGGTTAAGAGCATTGTGCCAGTAACCGAAAGATCGCTGGTTCTAATCCCGAGCCGACTAGGTGAAAAATCTGTCGATGTGCCCTTGAGCAAGGCACTTAACCCTAATTGCTCATGTAAGTCGCTATGGATAAGAGCGTCTGCTAAATGACTAA